ATTCACTGCCATGTAGATAGGAGAATGAAAGACTTGTTCACTGACTTCCCACCCCCTTAAATAAATAGAATTGAACTAAAACCCAAAATCCTGATATCCTTTACCTTTTCTCTCAATGTCCCTATAAGCATATTCTAATTTCTCTATCTTGAAGATCCCTGGGCTAGTTTGGGGTGAGAGATTTAACTCTACCATTATAACAGGTGTCCTAACTTGAGAAGAAGCTGGGACCCAAACTCATTGGTATCTGGGAATTGGTAACACCTTTCTGTGCATCTGGCCTGGGCAGAAGAAGCTTACAAACCTCCTCTCCTCCTAGTTCCTCAGCCTTTTTTCTTGCACCCTAGGGAGAATGAATATTGATCTGGATTGGTCAGTTGTCAGGGCACTGTTTTGACCTAGTTTTCTTCCCTTTCCTTTTTTTTTAAGTTTATTTATTTATTTTAATTAATCTCTATACCCAATGTGGGGCTCAGACTCATGGCCCTGAGATCAAGAGTCATATGCCAGGCACCCCTTGACCTAGTTTTCTAATGGGTACAGTCACAAGTTTTAAAAGTCATATAGAGTATGGCTCACTTTCTTTCAACTCCTTTTTCCTCTTGGCTGGAGTCCTAAGTCAGAGTCTGTTCCCAAATGGAAGGAAATCAACTTCTCTCCCTCTACCCCATCCTTCCTAATGGTTGGGCCAGGACTAGGCCCTAGCTGTGGCCTTGTTCAGCTTCACACTGTGGGGAAGCACATGGATGCCATTTTCTCTGTGGTGTCATCTGGTCAGGTGCTGGCAGGTGTGTGTTGGATTAGTCTCCAAGATACCCAAGGGTGTTACAGGGGATGGTAGAGAAGGATGTAATGGGTGAAAGAAAGAAAGGGCTCACAGCTTCTTTGGTCTGAGGCCATACTGCCTAATAGCTTATATAAAAGGAGAGCTCCACAAAGCAGCCCACCTTACCAGAATTCTCTAAAATAGGGACTCGAGTCTAAGACACACAAAAATTAAAGTGTGACTTTCCTTCTCCTGCTATTTTCCTTGTACATATACTTACTTTCGAAACCACAATAAAAGGGGTAGCTGTGGTCAAAGGAAAACTTGAGTAGCTCTAGATCTCATGGTCATGGTGATCTCTAATGAAACACTCCTTAATGGCCATGAGATACTCAAAGAGGGTTAAACAAGAATCTAACCCCCTCCTCTAATTTCTCTAGAGCCTAGAAGTCCTACTGCAAGAGAATCTAATCTCTCTCCACAATTAGAGTATCAGAATTCAAATAATACATAGGTGTACTTGGTATAGTTGATTGGGATTGGAAGGAGCCACAGAAGCCAAATCACAGAGGAGAAAATAGGTGGGTTTTTTGTTTTGTTTTTAAATAATAAGGAAAATCTAACCCAGTGAACATTGCCAGACCTGAATGTTAGACAAACAAGATATCCAGGAGTCACAGGAATTCAGTCTTGAACTCTTCTAGCTCGCCCTTACCAGAGTATCAGTGCATCCTAAGAAAGAAAAGTTTGCATGATATAATGGGAAGACCCAAGACAGTCTTCTGTGGACTCCACCCTCTTTTAGAAAGGAGTCTTAACTGCAAAAAAACTGAAAGCAACTCTGTTCTGTTTTAAATAGAAAAATAATTTATTAAAGGATTTTAAGTTTATTTGATAGCCAGAGAAACAAGATTTGGAGGCAACCTCACCAGGAACCATGTCCTAAATCACACTGCAGAGCTCACCACTGATGCTGCCACCCTGGGCTAGACGATGCAGCTTGCATCACCAAGACTATTGTTGTTAGACAACAGGCCTAGGTACCACGTTAGAACCTGCAATGTCACCCCCTCTGAAAACAGCATACAGTCTCCCCCAACCTTGCCAGAATGAATGCCTCCATTCCTTTAGGGTTCAAGCTTTGGTATCTGACTGGTGGATCTCAGGATACATGACTATGCTCCAGCTTCTGTAGGGGGAGATAGGGACTCAAATGGGGACTCTCCTGCCTAAACATTGAGAAATATGTTCAAAGGTACTGATGGCCAACAGAAACAGACCCGAGTCCACTCTTTAGCTGACACTAGAAGGAGAAAGATTTTTTCTGACTAGCCAGTGAGCCTCGGTAATTAGAAACTAAGACAAGATTTAAACCTGGGCAGTTTGGATCTCAAGCTTTTATTCTTACATACTAGAGAATTCTGCCAAGATAAGTGATCTTATCTAGGACAACAAACTGGTAGAACTTGGACACATCTAACTCATAACAAGTTAATTTTGGATGCATCTTAGTCCTTTACCATAAAACGCGTGAAAAAGACCAGAATTTAGTTTATTCTTTGCTCTAGAAACTGTTCTTTCATTGCTAACGAAGAAGTGGATATTAAGATGTTCACTGTAGCATTGATTATAATGGCAAATAGTTGGAAAACACAACACACATCAAGAAAAGAATGGGAATAAATAAAATGTGGTATACAATATGATGGAATATACACAGTTAAAAGGAACAAACTCGATCAACATATATAAACATGGTTAGAGCTCAAAAATATGTTCAGTGACAAAAGCAGGTTGTCCAACAATATGCACAGTATGATCTACTTACTCTTTTTTTTTTTTTTAAAGTAGGCTCCGTGCTGGGCTTGAACTCAGGACCCTGAGATCAAGATCTGAGCTGATATCAAGAGTCAGACATTTAACTAGCTGAACCAACCAGGTGCCCCATTACTCTATTTTTAAAACAGACAAAACAATACATTATATTGTTTGTGGGCAAATATATGTATAGTAACAAAATTTTAAAATTTCATTTATTTTTTTCTTTTCAAATTTTTATTTAAATTCTAGTTAGTTAACATATAGTGTAACATTGATTTCAGGAGTAGAATTTAGTGAATCTTCACTTACATATAACATCGGTGCTCATCATAGCAAGTGCCCTCCTTAATGCCCATCACCCATTTAGCCCATCCCCAAACCACCTCCCTCCATCAACCCTCAATTTGTTCTCTATCATTAAGAGTCCTTATGGGGGGTGCCTGGATGGCTCAGTCTGTTAAGCATCTGCCTTCCACTCACGTCATGATCCCAGGGTCCTGGGATCAAGCCCCACACTGGGCTCCCTGTTCAGCGGGGAGCCTGCTTCTCCCTCTGCCCCTCCCCCTGCTCATGCTCTCTCTCAAATAAATAAAATCTTAAAGAAAAGTCTCTTACGGCTTGTTTCCCTCTCTCTCTTTTTCCCCCCTTCCTCTATGTTCATCTGTTTCTTATATTCCACATATGAGTGAAATCATGGTATTTGTCTTTCTCTGACTTATGTCACTTAGCATAATACACTCTAGCTCCATCCACTTCATTGTAAATGGCAAGATTTCATTCTTTCTGATGGCTGAGTAATATTCCATTGTGTGTATATGTGTGTGTATATATATTGTTAATAATGCTGCTATGAACATTGGGGTGCATGTACCCCTTCAAATCTGTACTTTTATATCATTTGGGTAAATATCTAGTGGTGTAACTGTTGGATTGCAGGGTAATTCTATTTTTAACTTTTTGAGGAAACTCCATACTGTTTTCCAGAGTGGCTGCACCAGTTTGTATTCCCACCAACAGTGCAAGAGGGTTCCCTTTGCCCTCATCCTCGCTAACACTTGCTTCTTGTGTTGCTAATTTTAGCCATTCTGACAGGTGTGAGGTGATATGTCATCATGGTTTTGATTTGTATTTCCCTGATGATGAGTGAATAACACAATTTTTTAAAGTGTGGACTAGAAGAATCTGCACCAAATTCATGACTGTAGATGTGCTTGGGCAGGGAAGGAGGTGAACAGGACTGAGAAGAGGGACAACTTTATTTGTCATTCTATTTGATTAAAAATATTTGAAGCAAACATGATAAAATGTTAACATTTGTCCATTCTGAGCGGCAGAACATATATAAAGTTTTCTCCAGATTAAAAAAAGAGAAGAGAGGAGAAAAAGGAGATGAATGGAAAAGAGGGGAAGGGATGGATCTCAAGTTTCAGATAGAAAGACAAAGTATCTGATTATTTAAGAAGCAATTCCTTCCAGATGCCCTGTCTAAAAATGAACTCCCCTAAGCCATCCAAGTGGGAATTCCAACACAAACTCATTGTGAACAGGCTTGATTTTGAACAACTTAGTTTCTTTCTTGCTTTTGAGCCTTCAACCCTGTTTATCCTTGACATTGGTCTTTAGTACTTTGCCCTTTAGAGCCTGTCATTTTTCTGGCTTCAGCCTGGATCTTCTTGATGAAATCCTGTTTTCCTCCCTGGGAATGTTATCTCTGCCACTTCAGCCCACTTCTCTGCTACTGCTATTAATAGATTTTATTTTGTGCTTAACAGACTCCTTTTATCCTTAAAAATCTTTTCTACTGAGGGCGCCTGGGTGGCTCAGTTGGTTAAGCGACTGCCTTCGGCTCAGGTCATGATCCTGGAGTCCCTGGATCGAGTCCCGCATCGGGCTCCCTGCTCGGCAGGGAGTCTGCTTCTCCCTCTGATCCTCCCCCCCTCTCATGTGCTCTCTCTCATTCTCTCTCAAATAAATAAATAAAATCTTTAAAAAAAAAAATCTTTTCTACTGAGATAGGTACTATTGTGACCCTCATCATTAGGTACAGAAACAAAGATACAGAGGGTTAAGCTCTAGATCACATGACCAATAAATGAGTATGAAGACACATCATTTACTTATCTGTTCTTCTGTTCATAGGCATCAATGAGATTTCCAGTTATTTATCATTATAAATAATGCTGCAGTGAACATCCTGTATATGCCTTTGTGCACCTGCACAAGTTTCTAGGGTATACACCTTGAAGTGAAATTGCAGCATTATAGGGAATAAGCATTCTCAACTTTGCTACATTTTGCCAAATTGCTCTAAGTGATGATTGTAATTTATACTCCCCAGCCCCACCCCAGCAGTGTTAACCAATATTGTTCCCACCTCCCAGAGAAGTGAAACTTTAAAATTTTTATTAATATGATAGGTGTGAAATAGAACTTCACTGTGGTTTTCATTTGCATTTCCTTGATTCCTCTTAAGGTTAAACTCCTTTTAAAGTTTTCTATGAATTGCCTGTCTATACACTTTACCATTTCTATACTGTGTTATCTGTTATTTTTGTCTTTTTAGGAATCCTTTACATATTAAATACCAATCCTTTGTCTATAACCCGCACTGTAAATACCTTCTCCCAGCCTGTGGCTTATCATTTCCTCCATGGGATCTTCTGTAATACAGATTCTTTTTCCTTTTTTTAAATCTAGTCAAATTTTCCAATCTTTTACTTACAGTTAAACTTATTTTGTCCTACCTAAAAAAAAATATATTTTTACACCCTGACATAAAATAATTCTCTTAAATTTTTCTCCAAAAGAGTTAAAATTTTGCTTTGGACATCCAGGTCTAAATTAGCTGGAGTCATATTTGTGTATGGTGAGATGTGGTGCTCTAGTTATCTTTCCCTTATATGGTTCACAATTTTCCCCAGGACCATTTCCCACACAGTCCATCTGCTGATCTGTATCACCATCTTTTTTTTTTTTTTGAAGTGTGTATTTTATTTATTTGTACTTAAACCTATAAACCAATCAGCCAAGCTGGTACTATTATCATGACACATTAAAATACAAAACATCTTTCTACAAATACTAGAATAATGAACAGATTAACAGTTCTAGTAAAACATCACAAGAGACAGAGGAAATCAATGAAGCACATTAAGGCTTAACCCTTCACCGTTAGAGGTTATTAACAAGAAAAGCCTCACAATCTCAGAAAATACAAATTATCCTTCATCACACGTCTTTGTATCTTCACTTCCTATTCTTGAGGTTAGATTCTAGAGCCTAAAGATATCCACATTAGTATTGTATCTAGTTATCCATAGTGAGAAACACCTTTTATCATGTTGTCCATAGAGCCAACGCTACTGAAACCTCTTTGACTCCAATCATACCCCTTCAATGGACACAGTAAGAATAACGGGAAACAGAATATTGAGGCAGAGATATATGGTTTAGCAATGAACAAAACTAAGAAGTCAGTGAAAAGAAAGCAGAAACTTAAAAGCTTCCTGTCACCTGACTCACACTCTTGCTCTCCTTTGGCCAGTGGTTTTTCTGCCACTTCTTACATTTCATTCTCTGGTTCTGGAACCAGGTCTTCACCTGCTTATAGCTAAGGTTGTTGTTCAGAATGTTGGAAAGTTCTTGCATCTGCTGGAGACTGAGGTATTTCTGTCTCTGAAATTGATCATTGAGGACATAGAGTTGGGTCTGAGAGAACACAGTCCTGATCTTCTGTTTCTTGCCCTGGGACGTATCTTCCTTCCTCACTGTTCTCTCCTCTCCAGAAGTGGGTGGTGGTTTTACCTTGGGACTCATGGAGGAGTCGGGGCTGTCCTGAACAAGCAGATCCATGGACGAAGGAAGAGGAAAGACAGTCTCAGCATGGCGTGTCTCAGCAGATGACATTTGCAGGGATGCATAATTTTCTTCAGGCCCGTAAATCTCAGGCATTGGAGAAGAGTCCCTAGAACTGGGTGCTTCGGGGCCAGGCGGGCATAGGGGCAGAGCTGGATCTACACTCATGTTGGTGAGTTAAGAGTAGACGGAAAAAAAAAAGAGCAAGATTGTAAGAAAGGCCCAGGCTTATGGATCTAGGTGGAAGAGCTGACTCACCATCTCTTTTATTTAGAAAGTTTTCTTAAGTTCATAGGCCTGTTCCTGGACTCTCTAAGCTGTCTCATTATTCCATGTGTTTATTTCTGCATTTATGTCACACTGTTTTAATTACTTAACTTCATTATAAATATTGATATCTGATAAGGCATGTCTCCCTGCTTGTTCATCTTTAAAATATCTCTTGACTCTTCTTGGCCCTTTGCTCTTTTTTTTTTTTTAAAGATTTTATTTATTTATTTGAGAGAGAGAGTGAGAGAGAGCACGCAGAGGGGGTAGGGTTAGAGGGAGAAGCGGACTCCCCGCCGAGCAGGGAGCCCGATGTGGGACTCGATCCCGGGACTCCAGGATCATGACCTGAGCCGAAGGCAGTCGCTTGACCAACTGAGCCACCCAGGCACCCGGCCCTTTGCTCTTTTATATAAAATTTTGAGTCAGCTTATTAAGTTCCACAAAAATGGAATTTTTAATTGTATCAACACTTATCAATCCAAGATTTATATTAATATTATGGAATAATTTGGCAAAATCAACCTTTTATGTTGAGTACCTATTCACAAAAGATATAAATATTTCCATCTATTTAGGTCTTCTTTAATATCTTTTGATAAAATGTCAAAATACTTCAAAGATCTTGTACATGTTCAATTATATTTGTTCCTTGGCACTTTGTTTCTTATTGCCCTTAAAAATAATTTTTATTTTAAAAATTTACATTAATAAAATAAACAAGTGCCTGGGTGGCTCAGTAAGTTAAGCATCTGCCTTTGGCTCAGGTCATGATCCTAGGGTCCTTGGATTGAGCCCAGCATTGGGCTCTCTGCTCAGTGGGGAGCCTGCTTCTCCCTTTCCCTCTGCCTACCACTCTGCCTACCTGTGCTCCCTCTCTCTCTGTCAAATAAAATCTTAAAAAAATAATAAAAAATAAACAAGTCACAAGGATGAAAAGTACAGTATAGGGAATATACTCAATAATACTATAATAACTTTGGTAACAGAGTGTAACTATATTTATTGTGGTGAGCATTTTGTAATGTATATAATTGTTAAATCACTGTTGTACATCTGAAACTAATATTACATGTCAACTGTACTTCAATTAAAAATAAAAGGAAAAAAATACATAGACCTAACTTACTGGTATAAAGGAATGTAACTGATTTTTGTCTAAGAATCTTTTATCAAATACCCTTGATGAATTCCACTATTTTTTTTTTTAATTTTTTATTCTTATGTTAATCCCCATACATTACATCATTAGTTTTAGATGAAGTGTTCCATGATTCATTGTTTGTGCATAACACCCAGTGCTCCATGCAGAATGTGCCCTCCTCAATACCCACCACCAGGCTAACCCATCCTCCCACCCCCCTCCCCTCTAGAACCCTCAGTTTGTTTTTCAGAGTCCATCGTCTCTCATGGTTCGTCTCCCCCTCCGATTTCCCCCGCTTCATTCTTCTCCTCCCGCTACCTTCCTCTTCTTCTTTTTTTTTTCTCAACATATATTGCATTATTTGTTTCAGAGGTACAGATCTGAGATTCAACAGTCTTGCACAATTCACAGCGCTTACCAGAGCACATACCCTCCCCAGTGTCTATCACCCAGTCACCCCATCCCTCCCACCCCACCCCCCACTCCGACAACCCTCAGTTTGATTCCTGCGATTAAGAATTCCTCATATCAGTGAGATCATATGATACATGTCTTTCTCTTTTTGACTTATTTCACTCAACATAATACCCTCCAGTTCCATCCACGTCGTTGCAAATGGCAAGATCTCATTCCTTTTGATGGCCGCATAATAGATGAATTCCACTATTAATTTCAATAACATGTCAGTCAATTCTTCTGGATTCTCTTAATCATCCTTCCCCCTTTTTTCTTTTAAATTTTATTATGTTATGTTAGTCACCATACAATACATCATTAGTTTTTGATGTGGTGATCCACAATCCATTGTTTTCGTATAACACCAAGCGCTCCATGCAGTACATGCCCTCCTTAATACCCATCACTGGGCTAATCAATCCCCCTCCCCGCTGATGTTGTTTTTATAGATTGTCCCTGTAAATTTCTGTTGTATATCACTCTTGGGGTCTTTCTCCTTTTATAGAACCCCCCTTAATATTTCTTGGAGGGCTGGCTTAGTGGTCACATTTTCTTTCAGTTTCTGCCGGTCATGGAAGCTCTGCATCTCTCCATCCATTCTAAATGACAGCCTTGCCAGATAAAGTATTCTTGGCTGCATGTTCTTCTCATTTAGTACCCTGAACATGTCTTCCCAGGCCTTTCTGGCTTGCCAGGTCTCTGTGGATAGGTCTGATGTTATTCTGATGTTCCTTCCTCTGTACGTAAGGAATCTCTTCCCCCTAACTGCCCTTAAGATGGTTTCCTTGGTTCTAAGATTTGCAAGTTTTACTATTACATGCCGGGTTGTTGGCCTGTTTTCCTTGATCTTGGGAGGGGTCCTCTCTGCCTCTAGGATGCGAATGTTTGTTTCATTCCCCAGCTTAGGGAAGTTCTCAGCTACGATTTGCTCAAATACATCTTCTAGTCCTCTCTCTCTCCACTCCCTCCATGATTCCAATTATTCTGACACTGGAATGCTTCATGGTGTCACTTATTTCTCTAATTCTATTTTCATGGATTCTGAGTTGTTTTTCCCTGGCCTCCTCTTTTCCCTTTTTATCTATTATATTGTCTTCCAGGTCGCTTATTCGTTCTTCTGCCTCACTTACCCTAACTGTTAGATTATCTAGATTGGATTGGATCTCATTGATAGCATTTTTAAGTTCTGCCAATTCAGCTTTCATTTCTGCCCTTAGAGACTCCTTGTTGCCATTAATTGATTTCTCCATTCCAGCCATTGTCTTCACAATTGCTAGCCTGAATTCCGTCTCTGACATCTTGGTTATATCTGCATCCATTTGTAAATCTGCAGCATAAGTCATAATCTCTGAGTCTTTTCTATTTTGGGGGCTCCTCCTCCTAGTCATTCTGTTGATGGGTGTTTGAGGGAATGTATAGAGTCGGAATTATTGACCAGAACCCAAGCAAGATGCACCTGTTTTCTTGGGACCTTAGGGTTGCTGGCCTCTTGTTTTCCCAGCCTGTCTTCTGCGGGAGGGGCCTGCCGCGCTGTTACTCAAGCAACCCTGTTTGGGCGGAGTTGCCTGGGGCCCCCCTGTGGTGGGGGATGGGCTCAGTGGGAATCCGCTTTTGGGGCTTTTGTTCTCTGGCGGCTTTCCCTGGCAGCTTTCCGCATCTCTTCTGCGAGTCAGAGCAGAAGAGACCGTTTCCAACCCTCTGCCTCAGAGCAGAGAGACCGCAGTCTGTTCTTCAGTGAGCTCTCCAGGCCACACTGTCTCCGTTTCTGTCCGTGCTGCTATAAATTGCAGTGCCCTGGGTTGTGTGTCCCTCCGCAGCGCCCCCGGTCCTGCCTCCAGGTCGGGGCACGTCTCTGCCCTTTGTGCTTCTAAAACTGCCAGCAGCTCCCAGTTCACGTGCTAGTGGCCCCACTGCTCTGGGTTTCCGTCCAGGGGCTGCAGTTCGCAGGCACAACCCCGCCACTCCAGCTTCCGCCCCAGGGGCTGCCCTAAAGTCCTTTCCCCGCTGCTACCGGTCTGCAAGGCTGTCGCTCACTGGCGATGTAGGATCCCCACAGCCAGGCACCCTCCCGCTGCTGCTTATCCTCCGATATCTGCCCGCGGAATCACGGCTCCCTGCTTCAGACCTTGAAACCAACCACCTGCGATATTCTGTTTGTAGAGATCCAGATCTTACATCTCAGGCTGATTTCGTGGGTGCTCAGAGTGGTCACCAGCTCAATTCCGGGGACCAGTTGGAATAGGGTCCCCTACTCCTCCACCATCTTTCCTCTCCCCTTCCCCTTTTTTGGTTTCTTGATCTAAAAAAGGAATGTGTCTAACTTTTCTTCATTTAGAAAATTGATTACCATTAGTTTTTGGTGTATAGAAATTAAGGTAGCTCTCATTTACTCCTAGTTTCCTTAGGGTTTATTTTTTAATTATTTTAGGTGTTAACTTACCAAATGTTCTTTCTACATCTATTGAAACAGTCATGTCATTTTTCTCTTTTATTCCATTGAAGGGATGAGTTATATTAAGAGATTTCTCAGATTTTAGAATATCCTTGCATTCTTGAAATTACTTGATCATAATATATTTTAATATGCCATTTGATTTAATTAACTAATAGTTGACTTATAATTTTATGTCTTTGTCAATAAGTGAAAATGGGCCTATAACTTTCTTTCCTTGTCCTTTCCTTATTCAATTTTGGGAACAAGGTTAAACTAACCTCATTAAAAAAAAGGAGTTGAGGTATCTTTTTCTCCTATTTTCAGAAACAACTTAAACAAGTATTATCTATTCCCCAAAAGCTTTGTGGAATTCAACTATAATACTCTCTGAGCCTGGAGGTTTTAGGGTGATTGGGGGAGATCTCTGATGACTGCCATTTTCATTTCTTTAGTGATTATTATTAACCTGTTCAAGTTATCTTTTTGTGACAATATTAGTATTTTCTATTTTTACCAGAAATTCACTTTTATAGGTTTCAAATATGTCATTAGCATCTAGTTGTAAAAAATATTCTGTGTCATATGGATACAATTAGCTACAAAGAAGGCTGAGAAACATAGTTTTTATTCTGGATAATCATGTGTCTAGCTAAAAATGGATCATTTTTCTTATGAAAATTAAAAATGGATATTACTAGACAAGTTATAGTCATCTTCATAGCTTCCATGATTAGCAACATGCTCCAGGAGATGGACTAATGCCAGGGACTGAGTTTGTGTCCTCCTGGTAGGTTTAAGAGGCAAGGTCTAGAGGTAGGTTAAGAGGTAGGGTTAAGGGCAGATGCCAGAGCCTATGGTGCCATAAATTGGGTCCCTCAGGAACCCCCACTTAG